TAACTCCCTGGTGCACATGTTTGCACTGCCCAGAGACTCTCTGACTTATACAACGGTCCCCTCAGTGTTTTCCCCTTGCTCAGGACAAATGAGCACACCTCACCCCGAAGGATGGTCAGAGTAGAGGACAGAACATCTTGCAGAGTGGTTCAGAACTCCAGTTCTGGAGTCTTTTTGACTCCATCATCACTCTTTCTGGCTTAGTTTTATGTCGATGGACAGAGAACAGGGATAACTATCCCACAGGCACGGTGATCATGCAGTACATAAAAAAATATACATGCTTGGCACATACATTCAGTAAAAAAAGCCATTAGCTATTGCTACCATTCATGGTAAAAGGGTAAGTTGATTGTGAATATGTATTTTGTATATAATCCCCAAAATGTGTTATCTTTTTATTAATCTCAAACTTCAAATATTTGAAGTTTTTTGCTACCAAAGAGGGTAGGGAGAAGCTGAGATAATGACATGGTGGGAACAGGGTACTAACCCACCCAGCGGTAGAGTATTGGTTGTGTCCCCCAGAATTGGGATGTGCATCCAGACCCCACCATGACGCGCCAAACCAGAAGGGCGATGTTAAACACATGGAGGAATCCATGAAAAGACTGGCCTATAGGGCCGGCCCCAACCAGGACCAGCCTGACCCCACCATGGAAGGGTGTGCCACAGAGAATGACAATAGAACTGGTGAGGGAAAGGAACCGACCTACCACACCCAGACGGAAGCGGAAGCAAATGAAGGGGAGGAAGGGAGCGGAGCACACCATGGCCCACCAAACCCTGAGGACAATAGCCCCACTCAGAGCAGCCAGTGCACAGAGAGGACCATATGGCCGGCCCCACTATGAGACACGACATCCCGCACTCACCCATAGCCCTACATGGGACAACACTGGAGACAGTGTGGGATGTGTGACCCCACCACATCAAGGCTAAACACTAAGGGCGTGCAATAGAACAGCAAGGGGAGCAGAGCAAGGAAGTCCTGAGGAAGTATCAAGAATAGCCTTTGGGGCCGGGGCATGGCACCCCATCAGACTCGACCAGGAGGTCAACAAACAGACCTTGAACTATTTACAGGCTTTTTTTTCCTTTTTGATTTTGTGTGTCACTGGCTTTTTGTTGCTGTTGCTGCTGTCATCGCTTTGTTTTTCTGTGTCGCGTTGTTCTGGTTTTTATGTACATATTATTATCTCTGCAGGTCTATCTAGATAAGATAGGCTGGATAAACAATGTGGAGAAGAAAACAACGGGACTGATGATTCCGGGGACATGGGAGAGGGGGAGGAGGGGGAAAGGACGTGGTGTTAACCAACCCAGGGCCAAGGGAACAACGAGTGATCCAAAATCAGTGGAAAGGAAGGTGTGGGAGGCCTGGTAGGGAGTGATCAAGGACAATGTAACCGAGAGGAATTACTGAAACCCAAATGAAGGCCGAGCATGATAGTGGGACAAGAGGAAAGTAAAGAAACAGAGAAAGAAGTAGGAGGAAAGGGGCGTACATGGAGCCCTAAATACAGGCATGTACATATGTAAATATATATATGAGGAAGGGGAAATAGATCTAGGTGCATATATTTATAGGTTTAGTATTAAGGTAGCAGATGGACATTGGACCTCCACTCAAGTACTCCCTCAATGCAACAACACTTTGCTCAATTAAATAGACATTCCGTGATACCGACCTTCCTGACATGATCGCTGAAGACAAATGTGTGCATAAGCAAATGTGGTGAAGAAGGCTGATGGTGCCTGGCTATCGAGAAATGTAGCATCTGGGGTCTTACGGGCTTGAAGGTAAACAAGTGGCCATCTAACCCAGAAGCAACAAAGTCCACATGGAAGAAGCACACCAGCCTGTGTGATCACAAGGTGTTGAAGAGATCAGGTATCAAGCACCAAAGAACAAAAAATCATATGGTGAATGAGGGGGAGTGTGGGGTGGGGACCCAAGGCCCATCTGTAGGCAGCTGGACATCACATTGCAGAGGGGTAGCAAGGAGGAGACGAGTCACTCAGGGTGCAATGTAGTATCGATGAAACACACAACTTTCCTCTAGTTCTTAAATGCTTCCTCCCCGGCCACTATCATGATCCCAATTCTGTCTAACAAATCTGGCTAGACCAGAGGATGTTCAATGGTGCAGATAGGAACTGGAAACACAAGGAATCCAGGACAGATGATCCCTTCAGGACTAGTGAGAGTGGCGATACTGGGAGGGTGAAGGGTAGGTGGGGTAGAAAGGGGGAACCAATTACAAGGATTTCCATATAACCTCCTCCCTGGGGATGGACAACAGTACAGTGGTGAAGGGAGATGTCTGGCAGTGTAAGATATGATAAAAAACATGTTGCGTCCTGTGAGAAGGCTTAGCTGAAATGACTGGTGGGTAACAGGAATGCCTATCATGCCAGTTAGTATAGTAGAGTGGGGAAATACTGGATTGGGAGGTAAGGGACACGGGCCAGGCCTAATAATAGAGATCTTTGACAAATTAACCTCTGCTTCCTTTATAGTGAAGTGACCGTAAAAGTATCTGTCCTAACTCTGACTCAGAGTGGTTATAGCGTGCAAAAGGTTAGGTGTTGCTTTAAAGCACAGGGGTAATTAAACAAAGCCCAACATTGTCATTGCCATGCAGAATAAAGTGTGCTTTGAGCTGTTGGTTTCAGTATGCTATCGTTTTGGAGTGTCTTTTGGAAGAATCCAATTTCTTGTCTTGAATCACTGACTGTGGTAACTAAGGAAGAGAGTAGTTAAGCTCAGTTTTATAATGCATTGTAGCAGTGGGGCTCAGTGGAAATGAAATGGTGTGCATAACTGACGTTATGGTTTTTTCTCTATAAATCTGATTGGTGTTATTTTTAGCTCCTTGCTGTGAGCATCAGCAGCAAACGAGGGAAACCTTAGGCATCAATTTGTACGAGCAACCTTGCGGCATTGTCTATCCAGCCTCATCCCAGACCCTTTCCCACAAAATTGTTGACGTTACATGGTGTGTTCACAGAGGAGTGTTTTTGCTGTGTGTTTGAAAACTTATAAAAGGACAGTAAGGATGAATTAAACTGTTCTCGAGGGAGGACAGTCCTAGTTAGAAGAGTGTGTCAGTCTGCGGCAGCCTGGTGGTAAGTGCTTGGGATGTGACCTGGATTGAGCTTAGATGTGATGAGCTTGGTTGTAGGGAAGAAAGGCCAGACTTTATAGAATTCTTTGGGGAAGAACTAGGTTGTGTATTTACTTAGGTCTTTCTTATTCTTTAGTGGAATTTTCCCGGAAAAGCATGTTTTTCACAGTCACCTATATATCTAGGCCTTTCTACTACCAAGAGCAGTAGTATTGAAGCCATTCAGCAATCACAGGTATACATACATTAACTCAGAACCATTTTTTTTAAACCTTAAATTCAAAGGAGCTTTTAATTCTGTGAGATCTAAATACTAGAAAAAAGATGATACCAACTCTTCAATGATAGGTATGTCTTTCACAGTGTGTGCTGAGAAGTATTTTCAGGTAACCATTAAGGAACAGTTAGGTAGGCATACACTCCTAAAAGGTTGGAGGGTAGCACCTTACCATTCATAGCTGTATATGAAAACATGAAATATATTATACATTTCACTGTCTTTATTACGATGAGATTTACTTGTACAGACAAATATGACTATTTTGTGTAGGGCACATGCTAAAGTTATTGTCATACACACGCACATGAAGGAGCTTCAAAAATTAATATCTATGGAATGACAGGATTCTAGAATTTTCCCATGAGCTTTCTGCATATATAAACGTCCTAAACAAAGTATGTTATATGTAACAGGTGCATGACCAGTCAGTATTTTTTCTGTTACACATAGAGTCCTTGTGGGTCAGAACCTGCTTGTGGGCACTTAAGAGTAACAGGTGCTCAATAAGCCTTTAACCCCAGGTGACCTTGTTTGATTGCTAAGCTGTCAATCAAGTAATTAGTACCCATTATACTTTCTCAGATGGTAGCAGGTCAGTAGTAGAACTCTAACCTTGCAGGAAGAAGGCCCAGGTTCTCTCCTCTGTTGATGCACCTTACGCATAGCTGTCACCTGCCTTAATGGAGGCATGTGTGTTGCTGTGATCCTAAACAGGTTTCCTTGGGACTTCCTGACTTAAGATGGACTAGAAAGACGGACCTAGTGCCGTAGTCCAAAAATCATCAATGGAAACTGTAGGTCACAGCAATACAGTCCCCACCCAACCATGGTAGTGACGCAGAGCCAGACAGCATTGTGTCCCTTGTGCGGGGAGTTACCATGAGTGGAGCCAACGTAGCTACTGCTAATGGTAGCGGCACTTTCTCGGGGTGCAAGTAGGCGGCAGGGTATAGAATGTTTCAGTATTCTGGTATCTGTGTAAGTACCCGATTTAAACAAATAAATAGTAAAATAGAAGGTGAGGGTTTTGGAGAGCACTCTGAAGTTTTTGTTTCAAGTGTCAGTTAATTACTAGGTTCACGTATACCACTGCAGGAAGACAGTTCTCTTTCCACCTTTGTGAAGGGAGACAAGTGCCTGATACACACTTGACAGCGCTCCCTTGTTGGGCTGCGGAAAGGCTGTTACGATTTATTCTGTTCATTTATTTATTTTTTAAAGAAAATTGCATGCAGTCATGAATTGGTGTATAACATAAAAAATGTAAGATAAAAGGACCCTCTTAGTGTGAGCTGCTCTTTTAGCATCCTGTTCCTCAGCACAGGAGGACGCACGGGCATGAACAAGGCTTTTGAGAGTCTGCCTGCCTCCGGAGGTTCAGTTCTACGTTCCCTTACCCACGCTCTCATAAACCTGCTTCCTTCTCTATTAGAGCAGATCCTGGGTGCTTGGGTCCACCTGCAATAGCAGAGCCATATGCTGGCACACGATGGGCAGACTAGCTGTGACTCGGGACTGTGAGGCCCCAGCACTGGTTCATGAGAAGAGCCGCTCACACTGGGCCAATGGGTGTCTCATCCATCTTCCAGGATGTGTACAAGCCCCGGCGGAAATACAGACGGCAACGGGGAGCAGAGGAGTTGCTTGACGAAGAATCCCGAATCCACGCGACGCTTTTGGAATATGGCAGGTAAGGAGTGGGACCTGGTCTAGGTGCTGAGTTGATAAAACCATTTAAGAAAAAGTCTTGATTAAATTTCTTCATGTGCTTTAATATAGATTGGCTTGAATCTTACTGAATTGACTATTGAGGGTCCAGATATTTCTAACATCGGTAACTTTTTTACTGGTATTGAATAACTGAAGGTTTTGTTGTTGGGAGTTTCTATGATGATGGTCGAGAGACCTGGTCTTTGAAATTCTCTGGAAATGCACCTGAGCTCTGCCTTTCTTGGGAATCAGGATAAGGGGGCATTTGCAGAGGTAGTGGACTACGTGCTGCTTGTGACCGTCTTTATTAAAATTCCCAGGTAAATGTATAGAATTGGGACAGTTCTAGCCGTTTGAGTGTTTGTGTTAAAGGAATGATTTCTGTTTCCTGGGAGGATTGTCCTGACTAGCAAATGAAGATGCAGCTAGGGGTTTCCTCACTTCTTAAAAATCACTCTTAGTTTTTAGAAAGCAGTTTTTATTTTTATACCCCTAATTTGCTTTATGAAAATATCAAGGGAAAATAAACAGAACAAAGAATTTTTTTTCCCCCACTGCACATCCTGGTTGGCAGTGGGTATTAATCTTGTGCCCTGGTTTTCTACTCAGGGCAACTGATTGCTGGATGTGAGTATTTCTTTTTTGAGCGTCCTTCCTTCTGAAACTGGTGTGGTGTGCTGCTCTTCCTCACAGCCCCGCTCTGAGGGGTGGCTGAAACTAACTGTGCTGTCCTCACCAGCAGCTTCCTAACTGAACCCCTGATGGCTTCGCCTTCCAGAGAGTTAGAGAGAAACAGCAGGAAACGGACTTCCCATATGTGCTCGAGTTTAAGGCGAGGTTTTTGCACATTTTTAATGCGATTTTTTGTGGTAAGATTAGGTGCCTTGGTGGACATTCTGGTCAGCTTATACTTGAGTATATACGGTGATTCCAGCTTTTAACTGACTTTGTGACCGCTTTTGTGAGGGGAGGGTTGTTGGTTTGGAGTCTGGCGTTTCCTTCTTTTCAGTCCACTTAAAAGAAAATCAAGCAGAACAATAGAGGAAGAAGGAGAGTCGGGAGGAGGAAGAGCAGTGCGTGGCCGACTGCCTCTGTGAACAATTGCACTTCTCCTTGAAGAGACGGGGTAGTGCCTGGCTGCCGGTATCGTACATTTTGCTCAAAGTTTCGATGGAATCCTGATCAAACGTGAGGAAATGTAGCACACAATTTAAAATTCGTACGAGTTCCAGACTTTGTGGAGCCTGAAGAATGGTTGAACCCCTTCAGCTGTAGCTCTGCGATCATCTGTAAACCTGAAACCAGAAATATCCCTGGAAGTCATCTCAAAACCAAGTAGTCACGTGGTTCACTTTAACTTGTAAAAAAGGGTCTGCCTTGAGCATTATGCTTTTTTTTTTTTTAGCATTATGCTTTTTAAAAAAAATCATTTTATTGGGGGCTCGTACAACTCTTAGCACAATCCATACATCCATCCATTGTGTCA